GAGCCCCGTGTCGGGCTCTGTGCTCAGCATGGAGTCTGCTTGGGACTCTCTCCCTATCCCTCTCTCCCTACCCCCCTGCACACCCTCTTTCTCTCTCTAAAAATAAATAAATCTTTAAAAAAATTAAAAAGAAATAACATAAGTCAGAATTATCAAGATCTTTCAGATCCACTTATTCTTCAGGCATGTCTTTAGACTACAAAATTAAATGTTAGCGAGAAAAAAGCCAATTATAGCACTAAATTATGTAAGGGTAAAAAAATCAACTGGAGAAGGTGAATGTTTCTAACATTTATTTGTGCGTGACTAAGGCTGACACTTTGAAGAGAAGAATGTGACAGCTTACAAGAAAACAAACTCACTCACTCCCCCTTAATTTCAGAAGGCTCATGCAAGTCTGACAGGCCAACCACAGGGTGATCTCTCATGTGTATCATCCATGACAATTACAGCTTCAATAAAAATGTTCCCCAAATTTTAATAAAGCCCTACTGGTTTTCAGGAAATAGCTAGCCTAACATTTTCATATTTAAGAAAGTATATTTCAGAAATTAGTGAATTATTTTGTGCACCTATTTAAGACCGTCTAAAATTGTTATCTTAAGGCAGCAAAAGAGGTACAAAATGAATGTTGTGGAGGATAACAAGGTGATATGAAAGGGTGAGTGCTAACAAGGGTCAGTGCTGGTGGCACAGGGAAGAGAGCTGCACTGAGAAGCCACCCTGACTCTCTATCATCTTTGCTTTGATTTGGTTTTCCTCTTTAAACAGCTATTAAGAGTTCCCCTATGAATTTTCAAAGTGCTATGACTAAATCTGGGGAGCACTGATAAAAATCACAGCTCATTATAAGCATTTGAAATGATTTAAGGATAATGCAAAAGAGGCTTCAAAGTATTTATCTTGTAACTTACACTGGAAATAATCTGTTATTAATTTGATAGTTATTTAATATGGGGTAAATCAGGCTGCTATAGGCACTTCCTCTTCTTCCCCATCATTGGTTGTCAGCAACAGAAGGAAAAAAAGGAAAAACAGTGCTAAGCAGTGGAACCTCCTTTTATTCCAAATCTCCAAGCCCATAGCCAAGCTCGTATTAGACAGTATAGGCAAGAGAAATCAGGAAGGAGGTGAGAAAGGGCTCTCCCAGAGGGTCCTCACAATTCCATTTCTAGCCTCTCCCAATCACTGTTTTGTTGCTCATGACACAACTCTGCACTATTTTCTCTCTTCATTCAGAAAACCAGTCACCATTGCCTTAAAATTCACAGGTTTTGTAGATGGAAATTTCACCATCATGTACTCCTAAATTGAAATAATTAACAACTAATCTGGGAAACACCAATTTAGGAAGAGTATCTTCATCCAGTTCTTAAACTATGCCTCTAATCAACAACTGCCACAATATCTCCTACACAAATTTCATTGGATTATACATGAATAAAATTGTGTAGGTTTATGAAACATGAAGGAAGCTCTTCTCTAAACAGTATTTACTGATAATGACAATCTTTTTTCATGCTAATAATAAAATGCACAGATTATTCTTACCTTAGGACAAAGCATAATAACGCATCCTCATTATCCTCTGTCTCCAAAGAAGAATTTACTTCTCAATACTGTTATGGTAAATGATTATCCTTTAGGGAACAATCCCACACTAGCACAAGATGCTCTGATAGGTCTTTTTCATCTCTCACTCCTATTACCGTATGACTACATGGCCATATCCATCAATCACGTTAGCAAACACCACCAAACCACGACGCTATTACATACAAGCCAAAAGATATTTTCAATACCACAGTGTCACACTGTTATCCATCTTTTATAGCCAGGCAATCAAACTGAACATGACAAGATTTCAGAGAAATAGCTAATGGTAATGTAAGTTTTCTAGTCCTGGAAGCAAGATGAACTTAATTCATTCAAGAAATGTAAGCGAGTAGTAACTTCAATCTTTTACTATAATTTATACTTTTAAATTTAATGAGAATATTTTTGAACTATAAGAAATACTTCAAAATTACTTATTTTTAGTAACTTTTTTTTTTTAAGATTTTATTTATTTATTTGGCAGACAGAGAGAGACAGTGAGAGAGGGAACACAAGCAAGGGGAGTGGGAGAGGGGGAAGCAGGCTTCCCACAGAGCAGGGAGCCCGATGCGGGGCTCAATCCCAGGACCCTGGGATCATGACATGAGCCGAAGGCAGACTCTTAACGACTGAGCCACTCAGGTGTCCCTAGTTTTAAGTAACTTTTAAGATAGTTCAAAGACAGCTTCTCACACACCACTAGAAAAATAATTTGCCATATAAACCAAGTAATGTGCATACATATATATTATAGTGCTTAATTCTTAATTTAATTCTTAAATTATACAGCATGAATTAAAAATCAATATTATTAGTCCAAGCTTCGCTCTTATTAACAAGGCTAAACACACCTATTTTTCCCAAAAAGGTTTGAGGGCACCCCCTGGTGGCAGATTCTTTGGAGGAAAAAATTACGTTAAGTAGTAGAAAACAAATGCTATTACAATGAAAATATCTTTTTTTTTTTAAGATTTTATTTATTTATTTGACAGAGAGTGACACAGCGAGAGAGGGAACACAAGCAGGGGGAGCAGGAGAGGGAGAAGCAGGCCTCCTGCTGAGCAGGGAGCCGGATGCGGGACTAGATCCCAGGACTCTGGGATCATGACCTGAGCCGAAGGCAGACGCTTTTAACAACTGAGCCACCCAGGTGCCCCACAATGAAAATATCTTTTTAAAAAACTGACCAGACTCTACTCAACAACTCAGTTATTTCAGGCAATATCCAATGTAGAAAAAAATTCAAAATGTGATCAAAGAATGTTAAGAAATCTCTGAAGCTCCCTATGAAAAAATCTGACAACCAGTGGCTTCCAGGTAGTAAGACCAGCAAGATGTCCATCACAGAAGGAACCTGAGAGATGACCCCGTCCAGTACAGAAGAAACCTTTCTAGCCACCAGCCACACGTATTGACTAAGCATTTGAAATGTGGCCAGTGTGACTGAGCAACTGAGTTTCATATTTTATTTCACTTTACTTTTTAAATTTAATTTATTTATTTGACAGAGACAGCACAAGCAGGGGGAAGAGCAGAGGGAGAGGGAGAAGAAGACTCCCCGCTGAGCAGAGAGCCTGATGCAGGACTCGATCCCAGAACCCTGGGATCATGACCTAAGCCGAAGGCAAATGCTTAACCAACTGAGCCACCCAGGTGCCCCTACAAATTCAATTTCAAACATATCTAATTTACCTGAATACCCTCTGAAAACTAATTAAGTATCCCAAATATCAAATATCTCTCATATCAACATTCACAATTAAATAAAACACTTGCAAATAAAAAAAAAAACCCAGCACATTTTGCCCTTGGTTACAACTAAAAACTGCTAGACCACTAAGGACTCTCCCAGAAACCCTCAAGAATCCATCCAGCTTCAATAGCTATAATTTTAAAAAATCACCATAAAAACCCTACTAATTATTTCAGAGCAGTGTATATTTTTCAAATTTAACCTACTTGGGTAGTAAACAATGAGGTTTCTGATGACCTTAGAATTTTTCTTTCTAGGCATCCTTGGGAAGTTAAAACCACAATTCCCACATCATAATTTGAAGCACAAAAAAGACAACATTCCTAGCCCATTTTTGTCTTTTATAATTTCCCATCCCCACAGGCTTTAGAAATTACTTTAGGTCTTTTGATCTAATTTCTCTCTAAAAATCAGGGTATGTCTTTAAAAGTATTGAAAATGAAAACACCTTTAATTTGGAAATTAACCAATTTGGAATTAACCAATTAAACATTCGGAAATTAATCTGTTAAGTCAGGATTAAAGTAAAACATTTATCAACTTAAAATTACATTTGAACTAAAGGAGGTCTCACTTTTAATCCAGTCTGATTCTGTCATTATTACAAAGAAAAGAAAACTGAGGCCAAGGAGGTTACCTGATTATCCCAGCTTGAGAAGGTCAATTATCAACTAAATCAAAACTAGAACCCAAGTGTTCCCACCTCTACTCCACTGCCCTCCTCACTTCTCTACGTGAAAGGGATTAATTAGGATACAGACTCTTTACAAACCTACAGACTTTCTTTGCTATAAGCTGGAATAAAGGAATATTCATTCATCTATCTGCAGCCGCACAAGGTATGTGTGTAAATATAAAAGGTAACAATTTAAATCCACTCTGGTTTTACAGAGAATTTCTAACACTAAGAACTGTCTTTATACCAATATGCTAAAAATCCAACCTATGCTCACCTCCCTCTTTAAATTGGGACAGTGGGAAAACTAATACTGAGAATGAAAAGAAAGATACCTGCAATTCATGGAGTTTGGGATTCAATCACAGATATAAAGAAAACTAAGTAAATGAACAACACAAGACAATTATTAATTCTGGGGAAAACAAAAAGTTGTGCAAGAGTGGAAAAGCAATCATATCTTAGACATGTATAGTGCTTTT